AAGGGGCGCACTATCTCACAAACATGGTCACGGGTTCAAATCCCGAAGCGTTATCGCTCAGGCTAACTACAGGCTTTCAATCTCTCTGAAGTCGGTCAATTGATAGCAAACTTATCTAGGGGATGAAAGCTGTAATTATACATCAGCTGGCCATCGCAAGTCATTGCGTAGGTAACAAACGCATTCGTTCATCGACTACGTTTCTGAGTGAAAGTCGAATGCGGGGACGCATCCCTCAAACGGGACTGAATAATGCCAGGAGACTTCACCTTGGACATTTTACTCATGTTCATTTGCTTACGTTGACGCGAATGCCATGAAATTCTTGAAATAGTCAAAATACTCTGAAAGTCGAACCAGCTACATGGAACACGTTTGAGTTCACTACTCTTAGGACCGCTCTATAAAACTGACGCTGACCGTACGAGTTCCTTTCGATGTCCCATTTCTGGTTGTTACAATCAGGTGTTTATGGTTAGTAGAGCTATAAAATTGATGATTAAACTACGTGCTCCACGAAGGATTACATACCGGATCTATCACCAAGGGCGGAAGTGCTACAGTGGCAAGCGATGCACCATAAAACTTATGATCTGATAATCGGGTTCCGATTGATACCCTCTGGAGCCAACAGAGCCAACAAGCCTTCCATCCCACCAGAGTCGGTTAATCGCTACCAGACACGTCTCAAAGGACAACACTGATTTGCGCATTGACTGTCCACCGCTTTCCATTATTTAGGCTACATAGGCATTCAAACCGCTGATACGATCGTAAATGGAAGTCGAGTGCGGGGTGTATCCCGAGACGGCAATGATTAACGGGGAAGACTTCATCATCCCTCTATAGCAAGGCTCCTCCAGTACTGCTGAAGCGGAACCAGTCCGAACAAAAGCCACGGTGCTACCAAAGCCGAGTTCATTGGGAATTGTAGAGCCCTACAGGTTTTTTGCTTGATGAAGGACATTCGACTCAGAATTGCGATCAAAAATTTGCATGTGCTGTGGCAAGAACGGGAGGAAGTTGCGATGAAAAAAGTGCCGTTGATTTTTTTCCTGGCTTTTCAAAGTTCAAGGAGCTCCTTGAAGACAACTAAGAACGACCCCATGCAAACGACAAGAGTTTGCAAATCGTTTACAAAGAGATTGGTCTAGATGGTCTACTGAGAAACTTTCGGAGGCCTGTTTACTGATGAAGGCACCCCTGGCTAGATGTTCGATTCTACTCGGTCTTATATTCCATGCGCTCTTATTGCAACAGGACGACGGCTTCCAGCGACCAGAGGAGTCCTCATGGATCATCGGCAACTAAAATAGTGATTGATATTCGGCCAACTAACGCTAGAACCGGTAGGTATAGTACTGTCTTTTGGACCGTTTCGATCGCTTAGCATAGCCACCCTCTACAGTGATCCAGTGACGCCCCAGACATTTCACTTCCTCTCTAGTTCATGAACAGACATTTTGCTCATTCAATGATCTTCGAAACGAAGTGAAGGAAGGCGCTGGATGAAAAGGAAATTGACCAGGGGCTACTGATTCCATCGGATGAATCTGGCGAACTCGGACAAAATAATCGGTCCCAAACGAATGGTTCCGTCATCGTTCGTGGGATTGGATCCAAAACTTGGTATCCTCACCGAGCATGCATGGCAGACTACCTTGCCTTTCCGTTCACGGTTATGGTGTGGCATTAGCGAACATTCCATTTCCTTCATTGAATTTAACCCTCGACTTTTTTTTTAATACTGCTCTAGCCAGGACTTACTTCACCTTTTCTAAGGCATACTTACTGTAATGAAAGATCAAGTTCAAATTTGCATTTGTTCGAATGATGTGTCATCGAGTAAATTCATTCTTTGACGCTACTTGAAAATGTAAACGGCTCGAAAACAAGTTTGATTAACCGAGCTGGTTCGATTTCCTTAAACATTTAGATAATAGCGTTTAACTTACATTTTTTCCGCAATTTTGTCGATATCATCAAAATCTGCGTCATCTTGAAATGCAATGGCAACTGCTGATCCATCTGATGCAGTTAACTGCTGAGCAATACCAAGTGTACAGACTGCGGCCAACAACAGCAGTAACCGTAAGACGGCCATTATCTGAAAAGGCTTCTGTGAAGGAATGCTTGAAATGCAAACTTCCGACGTTGGCAGTAATGCGCGGATAAAACAAAGAGGTAAACATGATCAGTAGAAGGTCATTAGCGGAAAATGGGATTAAATAGAAGACGTTAGCATCAGAAACAGCGCCAGAAACGAGCAGCATCGGAAGGGAAGTAGGTAAGATACAGGTATTTGTAGGATGAAAGAATGTTTGGTGCCTATCATTGAAAAGTGGTAGTGTTCAGTGATGACAGTTTAGGAATAATGACAAATATGTGCCTACAAGAGAGATCAATTAAAAACTGTCCAGAGATGGTAGAAAACGTACAAAAAGCGACTCGGTTCCGTTGAAATGTTTGAACAAAAAGCGGAAATGAAAAGATGAGAGAAGCGTCACGGTTCCATCAGTGATACGTGCTAAAATGACACATCAATCGGCGATAATGATCAGCATAAACGATCGGTATTCGGAGAGTAAAAGTATCGGGGAAAGAGAAAATACTTCTGCAGAATCCTCTAGAAGAGATGGAAGGGGTGATTAGTATGTCATATCGAGTGTTAAGTTTGAAAAAATGAAACAAAAGGAGAAAGAAATCGTAAAAAAGAAGTCGGCCCATCGCAATAACGGGATCTTTCCGTATCCGATAAGCTCGACCTATTCGATACAACCACCCAATTATCATAAGAAACAAATCAAAGGATAAAGGGTAAAGTTTTCGGGCAATTATCCATCGCGTCTGATCAAGATACTCCGTATTCGACTTCCATTCAGGATCGCAGTGGCGTATTGAATGCCTACACAGTCACTTGCGGTGGCCAGCCGATGTTCAAGCCAGTGCTTTTATCCTCCCAGACGAGCCTGATACCAATTGACTGACCCCGAAAGGATGGAAGCGTTGGTTGACCTAGGCAGATATCGGTCCAAGAGTCGAACCCATGACCATGCGCGTGTGAAGTGCGTCACATGTTACTACACCACTTCCGTCCTATAAGTTTGAAATAATGAATCTAACGAAAAGGAAATCTTGAAAAAGGAGTTGGCCAACCGTAATCATGGGTACTTACCGTGTCCGATAGACTCGACCTAATCAGTACAACCGTCGATTACAAGAAAGACAAATTAATACAGGAGTAGTTTTGCAATACATTACCGATTTTGAATGCGCTAGTTATATGTAAACTGGGGACTTGCAATTACTTTCCTTAATTACTTTCCTTCCTTCATTTTTTTACAATCGTGTTTATACTACTTCATTTCAGTCACCCGATCTTTCGATTTCTGGATTCTAAGGTGAGGGAATTAAGTTTACAGAAAATTTCTAAAACTTCTCAAAAATCCGAATGAAAACCGGTATATTCTACGCATTTTCCTAAATTACATGCAATTTTGTAAGCGCTGGAGTCAGGTCATAGTGCCGCGAGGCTTTTTTCGGAGGCACAGATAAAACTGGCTGAGTGAACGGGAGAATTAGGTTCTGCTCTGTTTCCCTTTCACGTGAGACGTCTTTTGTGAAATAGAGTCTGATGGTTCATCAAAAAAGGTACTCAATGAAATATCAGGTAGACCAGATGTCATAAAATATGTAGTTGTGGGACACAGAAAGATCGACATTCAGGGAGGGAATAAAATTTCGTGTATCCAGGAAGAACCGTGACTGAAACGAAAAGAACGTCGGGAGGGTATCAGTGCTGGTTTAAGCCGGAAGGCGAACCAACGAAAGCGATTTTAGCCTGTGAGAGAGATAGTGCAAGCGAGACAACAAGTCGCCGTCGCCCTATGCCTGCCGACCATTGGCCGTCCAACCATCAACGTAGACGAGGCGGTTCAACGATGGCGGAGGCGGCGGCAAGAAAGCCAAGGTTAATGACAAGTGAAAATGTATTGCAGATTATAGTGAAAGAAGATGACTATTACATGGTCGGATGGGAACGACCTCGGTTGATGCCGGAAAGGAATCGAGAGAAAGCCCATAGGTGTACCCAAGGGAATGAGAGCGACAGTTTCAACGGACTTTTCGGTATCGTCTTCTTATGCGTTTGCCGAATTCAGGTAAAAAGCGTCATGCGAAGGGAAACCAGAAATTCTCGTGAACATAAATACAAGTTTGTCGTTACGGAGTGACCCTTATATGGGAAAAGTGAGCCTTACTAACTTCGTTTCACCGGCAACTCAACTGCAACTCAATCGTTTTGATCATTTTTCAAATGAATTTTCAATTTCAGAGCAGGTGGTGTAGAGAAAATTATTATAGCTATCATATATGTATATAGTCCGAGGATCAAATCCGGATCGAAACCTACCCAAGCCATATAAGATTTCCACCCTCCCGGAATAGATACATGGTGCAGCCTCATCTGGAAGCATACGCACCGACCTGCAGATTGCCTGGTCTATACAGGCCATTGTAGAGACCGAATATGCATTCAAACGCTGTGGAGACTCTGAATGGAAGTCAGATGCATGGCTCAATCTAGAAGGAAATGCTTCTCTACACTCATGGAAATCTCATTATTTTTCCTTACGACTATTTTGATGGATGATCAGTTGCGGGCATCCTGTTTTCCCAATTACTCCTGCACACATGAAAAGGCAGTCCCAATCCAGAAAATGAAGGGAGGAGTCGAGTGCTCGGTGGGATTGGTCTTTCAAGGATGCGCCGTGCATACGAATTTCCTTAAAATCCCGTTGTTGCTTTGATATACGTGTACTGCCTGGAGGGCAGGGCATTTTGCTTTCATTGTGAAACTGGGATTTTGTCATTTGGACACTAACCCGAAGGTCGAGAAGGTCTGATCAGTTTGGGTGAGATTTGAGCCTTGGTTTGTTCCCTACTTGAAACTAGACTGGTCAATGAACCAACCTAATAGATGGGTCAATAACTTTTAGGTTAGCCAGAAAAGGTAGTCACAGAATGAATCGTAAAGTATACGGTAATCACCTTTAAGGGACATCTAGAATACGCCATGTAATGGATTCAGAGTTGGATTTTTTTTGCTTGGAAAGGTCTTTAGCTTATATCTTAACGCAAGAGGGAACGTCAACAAACGAGCCATTCACACAGACCGATGAGTTTTTCTTCTATGATTAAATTTTGAGCCCACAGACACATGATAAGGTATAGTCCACTGCATCTCCAGTCTTCTTGGGTTCTGCTACCACCGGCCAATGTGTTCCATACGTTAAAAAACAACCCGTTGAAAAAGCATGACGGGATTGGAAGTGGATAAAACCCGAGACACATCAGTCAATCTATCCATTCCCTTCAGAAACGCAAGGTCATTGACTTTCGTGAAAACAAGGTGTCAGCGGTGATGGTCGCTGAAGGAAAACGGGCGAAAGGGGATGAATAAGTATTACGGTAAAGAGGTTTCCATAAGGGGATGCATCCTATCAAAAACTAGAAATAAGACGAGCAAAGTTCATCCTAACCACTTTACTTTACAAAACTACTACCTCTTCTGAGAGACGAGCACTTAATCGGTCACGATCAGTCATCTCACTGCACTTCGGTTTTTTTCATTGGCTCTTCGTTTCCAAGATGATGAGTAATTCGCTGCTCAGCTTTCGCTACTTGAGAGGGAGTTACCTTCCTAGTAACTGTATTTTATACGAAAACAGCTGCTTAGTTAGTTCTGACATAAGGAGGGATCATATGGGAAAAAAAGGTAAAAGCAATTCAAATTAAATCGTCAGTGATTCCCGTTTTGGGTGAGCGCCCCCTCATTCGGGTTACCTCAACCTCAGGTATCCTAAAGGCGGCAATTTGAATGTGAATGACCTATTCAATGAATTGCGATTACGAGCCGTTCTGAAGATGTGTGCTTTCTTTGCCTTCGAAGGCAGGAAGGTTCGACAGACGGGTACCGATCTTGGCTTCGATCCCGGACCATGCGTGTCTGATGGTGCACCGCTTGCCACTATACCACCTCCGCCTGCAATTCACATCAGAAAGCAAAAACTTTTCCAGGGAAGATTCTATGATTTTCCAATTTAAGGTCGTGAAAACCTCCGTCTCACCTCAATTACGAGGCATGTCCAATCAGCGTTTTCCGCCGTGGAAATTGATCGTCAAATTGCACCAGACTCCCTTTTGCAAATCTCTTGAAAACTGAACTCACGTAAGGTTGTTTTCAATTTAATGAGCACTTCCTAGATGCGACCTAAAAGACTGTAAACTTCCCATCAGTCCATGCGTTGTAGCATAAGACAGTTTCCCACGGGGGGAGGGGGGAGAGTAGACTGCTGGAGGTTACGGGGTTACGGAATGCGCCGTACCCGCATCTTGTGGCTGCATATTTTCATGTAAATTTTCAGTAATGGTCCATAAAGGTTTACAGGCTAGTCTGAAAATGGTAGTAGAAGTTTTATGCCTTGCCTCCGTGCAGAATCTCTACGGAAACGTTATATTATTGGTCCCCTGACAAATACGGTCACCCTCAAAGGTATATCAGATTTTGAGAAGGGTTTTGAAAACTAGTTACTGGGAAGAACTTCGACGGGACCTCTTCAGCTCGTAGTAACACCCAACAGGTTAAGGACTCCCATTGAAGAGGTGTATCAGAAGACCAGTGGACGGAGGCTACCATTCGGCTATTTCGGATAATAGGCGGTGTCGATCTGCTCAAGGTTTATGATTGCGAATCGAATTTTCGTATGACTTTGGATTAAATCAAACCACTTCGGAATAAGCCTTGCCGACGTCAGCCGAGGAGATTTGGGAGTTTCGTCACCCCAGTCAGCATATCCTCATACCAGCTTGGAAATTAAAAGGTACGTAGCGGTATTTCTCCTGCCTCTCTAGCGCTATACGTGATGATCCATCATTCCATCGCTCAGTGTGGTCAAACGACATTATCAGACGTTAACGACAGCTTCTAATTACCTTTGTCTAAGGAAAGTTCCAGAAAATGTCAACGCTTAAAAGCACGTTTCTGCAGTCAAGATCGGACCTATTGACACACTTGCACTTGCAATCTGCACTCAAATACAAATC